TCTTCGAGTCTTTCTTCGACTCCTTATTCTCGTCGTTACCGAAGATTTGATCAGTATCCTCTAAACCACCAAACTGGGCAGAAATGTACATAGATGGGTCTAAATCCTTCTCCAGAACGTCAGCAATCGAGTGACCTTGTTGGTGGTATCCTATTAAGGAACCACGGTATTTATGGTCATAGATTACAGCTGCTTGAACGTTTCGTTTCTCAGCGAGCTGAATGACCTTCAATAAGTATTTGAGCATGGCCAGAGAGTTCACCTCCGACTTTTTGCCACACACCATAAAGATTCCGGTACACCAGCGAATGTAGCATTCAACCCACTGAGCAAGCGACGTTATTTTACGAGATTTACCTGTGCGCACGGAGACGGCTTTGCCAGTATTAACATCTTCAGCCTGCTGAATGCCTCGTCTTTCAGTTGATGCAGCGCTGGCCAAGAACTCGGGGGCCGCAATGTGATCAAAGGGAGAGCTCGATAGACGGTTGAGCAAGCGGTAAGGGGGCACCAATGTGGCAGGAACCTTCACATCTGGACCAAATCGATCCTGGATGTTCTTCTTGAATTTGTCGAAATCCTCCTTTTCTTGCTCAGACTCCACCCTACGACGCTTTGCGCCCTGAGCAGCCTTGGCTTGATCTATAAGGGTCAGAGCATAGAGCTTGAAGGCTTCCTTGTCGGCTTCGGCAACACGCTCAGTCATCCTCTTAACAACTTCATCAGAGACGTTCGACAAGAGCAAAGTAGAAAGTATCTTTTCTTTGGCGAGCTGCTCTACCAACATCTCTTTGATGCCATCATCAACAACCTCTCCTTCAAGTAGAGGGTCAACAACATTGCGCCTAACAACAATTGTGCGGTCTACCATGGAAAAAACAAAACAAACAATATGTTGCTGTTTCTACAACATCTGCTTTGGTCTAGCCTTATTGAGGCACTCTTTAGCTAAGCTCGCAAGTTGCGAGTCGCACACATATTTGTCCCTCACGGTCTGGGTGGGAGTTCGCTACGAAGTTCAG